CCTGATGTATTGATTCTGACCCTTCTAACCTTTAAGTGGCACCAGCTCATGGAATCTCCTTTCTGAATGCCCAGCAGGCTGTTGCTGAAGGGGAGCAGCTGTCATGGCTCTCAGAGAAGAGACTCATGTTGCAGAGCCTGGAATGTCTGCAGCGAGCAATTGCAAAGCTGGAAGATGAAAAGGTGGAGCTCAAGCAACAAAACACTGAACTCAGGAGGACTCTTGAGCAGGTAAAATGGGCTTTCTGTGCCTCCACGGAGCCTCAGGCTCCTCTGGAGCACAGCACGTTTGCCCAGGCAGTGCTTTGCAGTGCCCTGCTTGTTTCCTTGCCTCTCCCTTTCCCTGCTGTGGGCACAGCCTTTTGTTCTGTCTCTTGCGGCAGCCCATGGCTTTCTCAAAGGTGCCTTCACTGCACTGTCTCCCTCCCTGGCCCTGTGTCCCTGGACACACCCTGGCCTCTCTTGTGCAGCCCCCAGCGAGAACTTTTTGCCCCCAGTGTTGTCTGGTGCAATTCAGGATCTCAGAGCAGAGATCTTGCATTGATGTCCAGAGGTTCTTTTGCTCCATGTTTGCTGACGGATTTCTGTGGCCCTTTCTCCCATCCAATGTGCAGGTGGAGCACGAACGGAGGAGACTGAAGAGATGTTTTAGGGGTCGGTTACTCCCAGATGCCTCTGGATTTTCTCTCTCTGAGTCTGAGCAGTACAATTTTCCTACTTCTAGACAGGTGAGAACATTTTCCTTAGTGCAAGGAGGCTTTGGTCATACAGAGGAATGATGGGAAATCCCAGTGGCAGCAGCCCTCCAATGGAGACCTGATAGAAGTTGAATATTGCCTGTGCCTGGGACCAAACAGACTGAAAGAACATCCTTTCATTTTCTTCACAGGAGGAGTCTCATGCTCACTGCAGCCAGCGCTTAGCTGAGTTACAGAACCAGGTGAGGAGTAGGAAAAATCACCAAAGGCTGCTGTGGCTGTACTCACAGGTACACCTGTCATGCTGCTACAGCCTGAGTCTTGTTTGGCTGTCAGGAAGTTAGTACAGCAGATATTGTCAGTCATACACCTGTTGGCAACAGCCAAACAACATTCTTTATCTTGGTCTTATCTCTGACTTGTCTAAGGATCAGGTGGTGGGGGAGAGAGATGGGTTGAAATTCAGGTCACTGGAAGTCATCTGAAAATACCAG